GCTGTGGAGGGTTAATGCCGCGGGGCGATTAAAGGGCTGTAATCCCTGGGGAGGGGGGGGTGAGGGGTGATGTGAGGCTCTAATCTGTGTCTGCTGGCCTGGCTGGAGGGCGGCAGCTCTGCTGGGGCAGCCCAAATCTACCCCCAGCCCCTCTGGGGGGAGTTGGGGTGAGCCTGAGCCCCAGGGTTACATCCTGGGCTGGGGGAATGCAGGGGGGATTGGTGGGAAGAGGGCTGCTTGTCCCTCTAAATTGATGGCTCTTGGCCCTGGCTGGGGGAGCGAAGCAGGGGACAGCAGGGCAGAGAGGTGTTTCAGCGTGGGGTTGGTGATGGTGCTGTGGCTGGAAGGGGTTGAGGACCCAGCGCGGTGGGTGCCCTCAGGGCTCTGTTGCCCTACCTGCTTTCCAGGGCTATTTTTAAGCCCGTATGAGGCAGCTTTTGCATGGCCGAGCTAAGCTCTGATGCCACAGAGTGCAAGTGCGGGGGCACGCTTGCCTGGGGTGCTCAGCTGGGCTGGTGGCACGGTGGCTTCCCAGGGATGAGGCAGGGCTGTGCTCTCAGCAGTGGCCTCTGCCCAGCATCTTTGCTTCCTCCCCTTCTGCACACTCTAGTTTTGCGCTCCAAGCCTCCAGAGAAGCCCCTCTACCTGAGCGGACGAGTGGTCGCAGAGGTCTGCAGCTCAAATGATGTCCAAGTGACAAAGCGCCACCAGATCTGGGGGGGACGTGCCAGGCTGTCACTGCTCCCTGGAAGCTGGGGGAGCCCATTTCAACCTGCCTCATCCTCCATCGTCACGTCCTCTGCAGCAGCACTGCTGAGTAGAGGTGAGCCCCTGTCCCCTCCTTTCCCACCCTCTCCCCTTTGGGGCCAGCAGGATGTCCCTGCCTGGGACAGAGTGCTATGCTGAACCTTGCGGTTGCCCGGCCAGTCCCAGGAGAACCTTTTGCCTCTTTGCCGGGTCAGAGCAACCTGGGGACTGGTTCCCTGTGGGAATCTCGGTTGAGCCCCGCCATGGTTTGCCCCCCCTCCACCTCAGCCCATGGGAGGGCTGTGGCTCCAGGACAGACCCAACTTTGTTTTGGGTTGCCTGGGCGAAGACTTTCCCTAGCTGCCCGTGGAGGCGGGGGAGCGCGCCAGCGTTGCTGGGGGACCGGGGATGCCAAGCAGGGAGCTCACCAGCGCCAGAGCAACCGGCGGGGCACAGGCAGACATGGCAGGGCTGGGAAGGGCTGCACGGTTTCACTGTGCACCCTCGGCCCTGGCAGCAGAAGTTAAAAGAAATTATTTTTCCCACCTTAGTCACTCTTTAGGGGAGCAAATCCCACCCCAGCTACATCTCTCCTGCCGGTCCAACCTTGCTCCTCTGGCAGAGGGGTGAAACGCTCCATGGGAGGAGCACAGAGCCAGCAGCAGTTCACCCGGCAGGTTCTGCAAATCTCGTTCTGGGGGACAGAATCCATTCCTGCCTGCAGCAGGTGATGAAGAGCACAAGGATTAGTAGTCCTCGTCATGGTAATCCCAGCTGGAAGTAGAGCCGCTCTTCACTTCAGTATGGCACAAAGCTTTTGCTACAACTAAATCCACTTGTGGTTTAAAATACCACGATACACTGTTCCCACACTTAGTTTTAATATTAGTCACAGGAATAATTGTATTTAAATGAACTAAAATTGGAAAACTAACCCCCCCAGGCCCTAAAAATACAGACACAGCAACACTAAAAATTCCACAGTCTGCCAATCTCCAATAAAAACACCCCTGAGGATATCTGAAAGCTATTACCTGATACTTTGTAATTGGAACAAATAATTTCTGGTTTAGAATTAGCCATTACGGCTGCTATTACAGTGGGAAAACATGCAGGAGCGTCAGTTATCCTCCTTACCTTCTGTCCCTCTCCTTTTAGCAAGCTCCCCTGCTGTGGAGAGCATGCTGAGTAGGGCAGGAAAGGTCAGGCTAAATAACTGCATTAAAAAGTCTGTCCAGTGGGAGTCAGCCAAGTACCTCTTC